AAGAAGCAGCTGGACACACAGAGGAAGGAGAGGGAGGCGAGGAGGCAGCTGGACACACAAGTAGGCCATGGGAAAGAATTTTGGGATGTGTGCTATAAAAATACAATAGCAGCACACAGTTCAACAACAAGGCTGGATTGCAGCAAACAGTGGTCTAACCTGGATCGCATTGACTGATGTCAACTTATGACTTTGACTTCTCTCAGACTTGTTCAGTTTGGTATCCTCCATCTTTCTCTTCGCCTCCTCCTGCTTCCTTAACACAGCCTCCCGATTCATTTCCTCATTGACCGATGCTTAAATACTCATAGATGCAATCTTCTCCGCCAACATTTCATTTTGTGCAGCCTCCCGCCATCTACCCTCATAGTCAAGGAAATGCAGGTATTTGACTAAATTTTCGATTGATGTGTGCGATTCATTGACTGTCTTTTCAATCCTATCCTCAAATATTATAAGCTCATCCATGGTAAACTCCATCTCCCTCATTACGTCAATCATTAAAATATAACTGCATGACAATAGAAAGTTTTTCACCGAACAGAAGACTCTCCTCCAAAAACACGCCCACCATAAGATAAATTCTCAACTTCCGCAAGACACTTTTTGTCTTATCATTTTCAAATACCGAAATCAAATGGTTAAAATGTCTAGCAACACCTTTGAGGTCAAGTTCTTCAATATAACAGATCATTATTTTCTCAATCTCGATAACACTATTAAAAATTAAAAAAATCATTTATTATTTGAATAATGGCATATATAAGCATAGCATCCCTTTTAAAGGATTTAAGGAGCTTGTCTAACGTTTTTCACAGGTTCGATCTCTAGATGGTCGCCCTTTCTATTAGTTTTTGGTCAATTTTTTACCCTAAACTTCAATCCTCCATCATATTTTGTGAAGCATCATCTTCCAAACTAACAGATGTTGCATGTTTGGTAGTCAAATTGTAATTGCCGTTTTTTGTATTAGTAGCTGCAAGTAATGTCAATTCACTATTTTGTCATGTCAAAATTTAGATATCACAAGCTTGGTTTTAGATACACTACTAGATTCTAATATAGAGTGAACTCCCTCTGCAATTTCATATTATGCCTTCTTTGGTTCTGCTTTACC